GGTTGATCACATTATTATTTATAGGACTGGCAGGTTTTTTTTGTTTGTTCGTTTTATATTTCCTTTATTTTCTACTAACAGACTTACAAGCTTTGAACAAACTGCAAAAATATAATGAAATTATTATTCACCTCTAATCAAGAATAATGAAAGTATTTTTACAAAAGCAAGGTCCGTTTTTTTATTTTTTTTAGAGCTTATTATATGCAACCCGCAAAGTATGCTATTATACATTTTAGTAAGCCATCATCTGTAACATTTTCCAGGAAAATGAAGTGAGCTACTCTAAGCTACACATACTCAGTAAGAATCACATGAGCAGATAAACTTATACAAGTTAACAAGAGGACTTTTCAGACTTGTTCAGCAACTCTCAGGTCTAGGGTCTGCTTCATTCCAGTGTGTAAGTTGACCAGTTGCTGTTTATCTCATGTAGAGTCAGGGAGAAGGAACTGTCTTTTTCTTACGCATTTTTTTTCCACATTCAACACTATGTGCTTGAACAGCCATACAAAACACACTGAGACTCCCTGCTGGTAACCCATATATCTGCAGTCTGAAAACACAATACATTTACACATAGCCTAATAACCACAAATTAGAATATGTCATAGTCGAAACCTACTTAGAGGATATATTAGAAAAAAAATAAATAAAAATAAAACAAAAAGTAAAGCTAATTTCTAATTTGAATGCCATGAATAAATCACAAGAAACAGGCCATCTTTCAAAACTTTTCTTTTATAATAGCAATCCCTAAGAGTGTTCATTTAAACTACGGTTTAGTTCAGCATATTACTATAGCCTTAATCACCCAAAATCAACGGAAACTGTCAAGTGCATAAAATGACTGTCCCCAAGCAATAATTCGAGCTACAGCAGGTTTACACTGAAAGGAAAATACATGTATTCAAAATATGTTTTAAATAAACGTATTTTAAATATTTGAAATGTGCTATTTTCATTTTACTATACAAGTCTACTTGCGAAGTTTTATCTTAACTTCTGTATGCCTCGTGACAACTCCTTAATGTACCAACCTGAAGATGCAACCCTTCAATTAAGGAAACAGACAACACAAATACTGCCTTATGATAAAATATATACCACGATGTTGTAAATTCTAACAGTGTTGGGAAGTCTAACATTCAATTTATGAATGATTGTTCTCCCTAGAGATGGTGGACAAACATCCCTGTACTACAAGCACAGAATATACAGAGTAGTATTTAACAGTACATTAACACCCCTGAGGTGCTCCCCTGTGTCCTCTTCACTTCCTTCTTCCTCAGACATTGCTATTCAGCATTGCTTAAGTAGCATGGCAGACATGCTTGAATTGCTACTGTAAGCGGCTTCTAAACTTGTAGATGATAACTGAAGACCTTTACTCCTTTTCTTGCAAGCATCTTTGAAAACAAGTGTTGGCTCAGGCAAACAGTTTAGTGGCACACAGAGGCTCTCCACACAGAAATACTGATCAAACTAGTGAAATAGTTTCTGTTTAAGAACTAATTCTGTATTTAGCAGCCTTGCTTTAGTACTCCACACAACATTCAGCAGAGACTCAAGTCAGCAAAACTAGAAGCCTTCCTTCATGCCTACCACAGCAAACATTGCTTTCATTGTCCTCTACCTGTACATCCAGAATTGAACCTGCGAGGTGTCCCATTTTAGTGTTCCATGTTAGATGTCTTTCTCCAGACAAGCCATTGTGGCAGTTCCTTTTTCCAATGTGTGCAATGGAACATAGCATCTAGAGATACAGATGAGTAGGTGCTTGATTTCATCTTTTCTTCTGATGTGCAGCTGTAAAGCTTTTCATTTCTACTTTTACAGATATACACCTTCTTCACAGACAATGTACGATGTAAAAGAATATGTCAAGGATTATGAATGCCAAATCATGTCTGTGTACAGGTAGGTCTCCTGCCCCGTAGAAAGACTGAGTCAAGACAGGGATACCTCTATGAAACCTCTATGTACAAAGCCATGTAAAGATGTATTGGGCTTTGTTTCAGCATTTCCTTAAGAGAGATCTTACCAACATTTAACCTACTTGCATGGAAACCACATCAACTCTAGATATGATAAAGCTTTGCAGCAGCTTTTTACCTTGAGAAGAATCCACATACTTCTCTTCCTGAAGTTACTGGAAAATTAGAACATCATAAAAACAAACACCTGATTACATCCAAATATAGATTCATATAATCCACCAGTTAGTCTTTAAGAGCAACAACTATGCTGACCAAGTCTCATCATTATGTTTTTTTCCCTTCATTGTCCCATACTATTCACAACTGTTGTGTAAGGGATGTTAGAAAGGAATGCCAGAAAGGAATGCCCATTGCGTTTCCTGTGTTTGGGCTCTCCTCATCCCTTCTCAAACCTGACAACGCCACCTCCTGGGATAGCATATTCCATATTCCACAATACATTCAGACACTATCCAAAAAGAAGTATTTTCTTTTATCAAACTTTGCCTATCTCAACAAATGCCTCTTAGTATAAAGGTGTTTCACAAACACAGTTCTGCATCCAGATCATCCATCCAACTTCAACATTTTGCAAATTTTGACCACATGCTATCCCCACTTAGACCTCTTAGCAAAAAACTGAGTCTTCTGGTCTGTCCTGATAAGACCACAGGCTCCAAAGTTCAAGTTCCATTTTAGATTTTCTTTGCTTTGCATGCAACATAAATCAAGATTTCACATGAAGTCATCTCATATTTCTGCCAGTATTTCATTAAGCACAAACCTATTGACTCACAAAAAGCCAGCTTTACAAATCAATGAAATACAGTCTTTCAACACAGAAGAGTCATGTGTAAATACCGGAAAAAATATAAAAGAATAGACAGACAGACAGATGCAACACTTAATCACATCCATAACTAAATTTTATGCAAGATGCAGAATAATAAGCATAAAACACAAATTTCCTATTTTCTGGATTTTTTGGCATAAATCCAGCTTTTTTACTGCTTTTGCTTGAAATTCAGAAAACCTTTTTTCTTCAAGCAAAAATCAATAGCTGTTCTTAATTAATTCTCTCACATATACTGCCTATTTTTCTTTAGTTTAAAACATCTCTGCTATGAAACAGAAGTATTCTAATCTTACTTTGCTAAGTAAAATGCTCTGCTAAATTACTGTAGTAAAGAAATCTTACAGCAGCTATTTTTCCTCATGGAAAAATCACTACACACTACCCTAATTTCCACTTGCACATTATAAAAGCAATGGCAAAACCCAACAAAGAAAACTAAATCAGAATTTCACCCATTACTGTACAATATCAACAACTGTTGCCATTTACTAATGGAATGTACATTTTCAGAGGTGTTACTCACTAACAAAACTTTACACAATATAATAAATAAGAACAACACCTGAATATACCTCTTTATATTAATTATATCAGTTTTTCAAACTCATTATACACTGGCATAATCAGATGACCTTCCCAACTCAGACTCCTATTTTCTTTGTGTGTAGTTCCAGTATTATATTAAATACTGATTAAATTTTGGAGGCTTTATAACTTGTTGTTACTGAATTCCATGAATGGAATACTGTCTTTAACATTTTAATTCCTGTGTTGCAAATTAAACAATCCAAACTGCTACTTTTCATGACATGTCCAAATCCTGGAAAGGCCTGTCACTAGCACAAAACAGGATGAAATAGATTTAAAATACTTCTATAATGTCAGCCACATAGTGTCTCTAAAAATGCAATTATGCATCTATTTATAGCAGTGTTTATCTGGATTTTACTTACTTGACCAGAGCATTTCACTGCAATTCAAGCATCAAGGATGCAGTGAATTCATACTTGGTATATTAGTTATGCAGTTGTTTACACAGTACAGAATTAGACACTTAGACAATCTAAAAAAATTATAATGTCTTGATATATTTCTCAACATCTCCAAAATATTCAAACTAATGAAGAAGGTTTACTACTCTCTCTACTTTTAAAAAAGCAGCAAACACTTATAAGACATAATAATCATTTTTATTATTGAAGCAAAATTTATGTCTACAAGCTGAAAAAAAAACACTTAAAAAAAAACACAAGCTTAACCTGCATGTATTTTTATGATTGAACCACTCCATAAATTACAATTTAGTTTTGATTTGTATTTTTCCCTTCTGGCACAGTTTTACTAGAAACTGTCAGTTTTCTTCTTAGAATCATTTGCTCATGTATCGTTGTGTTAAACTGGTAAGCTGTTTCCCCTTGGGGAAAAACAGTCATTAAAAGTAATTGATAATTGGAGTCTTAGGTCTACCATTGACCAGACAGATACCTTCAGGGCCAATTCAGTCTTCTTGAGCAAAGGAGACTGCATTTTTAAAATATTTAAACGGAGATTGCATTTTTAAAATATTTAAAATTTTAAAATATTTAAAATATTAGTCCAAAAACCATTCATGAACTTGCTGCTGACAGCTGCAAGAAACTTTATTGATTAATGCAACTGCCACAGTAACATTTTGAAGTTAGATTCTTGCCACAAAGACTAAGAATGAAACAACAAAGTAATTTCTAACAGTCTCCTCTACAACATCACTCAATATTCAATTATAGGTAAATTTGCAACCTTCAACTAAAATATTCTACCTTCTTGGTGACTTCATTTACATGAGCCTCTATACAAGAACCATTCTGCTCTCAAGACATACTCTAGAATGTTAAAGGGGGCATTTAATTTTGTCCAAGAATTTTTGTAAAATTAACCAACTTATTGTAAAACTTTTGTAAAAGTAGCCAGCTTCTTTCATGAAATATCAAAAGCTATTTTAAGTTACAAAACTAAAGAAAATACAGACCTAAAAAATGACAAATTTATGCTTCCTGAGCTTCCCTAACATTGTCTTTAGCACTTGATCAAGTTTTAAAAGGTAGGTTTTTAAAGCAAATTAGGGCACAATATTAAAATGCAAAAGCCAAACAAACACCTTGACAAAGACAGGCCTTGATACTCACCCATCATTAGAACATGTCAGAAATTCTTCCTTTATTTTTGGATGCCAACAGCCTGAATTAAGCATTGCTGTATGACCCTAAGGAAATAAACACAAGGTTGTCTTAAAAGGTTTTATAAGAAGTCTTAGGCTTTGTAAGTTTTACTCCAATCCATCAAGCAAAACCATTTCAAAAGCTGAGATTAGAATCCCTTCTGATCAGACTGAAGTTACAATGATGTAACAATTTTTTATGTATTTTAATCCATTTCATTCTTGCCTGTTTTCATTTTCAAATGATAAAAACATTAATATTTTCCTTCTTTTTATATTTTTTCTTCTCAGACTATGGCATAGAATCACACTTGTTCTTTTCATCTTGGCAGAACTGTAACGCAGAAAAAGGATGAAACAATATGCATTAATATCGTATTATGCAAATTGTTTTTAGCCACATAAAAAATAATAGCAATGACAAGAATTATCAGGAAGGACACAATACACAGGATACAATCTTTTGTTTTAGGATGAAAAATTAGAAGGAAATTAGTTTAGCCAAATGCAAGAGACTGTCATTATGTTTACTATAAAGATAAGATGTTTTTGTCCAGCTGGCTTTACATCTTTGAAGTACAGACACATGATCACTGACTACCTTCAGAGAGAAATCTGGCAACTAGTCCTGTAATACTGGAATTATTTTAGTTTGCTTTAAGCAAAAATATGGGGAGAAATACTGTAAAGTTAATGGGGCAATATAACAAATATTTTAGTATTTTGACTGTCAGACCAAAATACATTGGAATTCCAGAAGTTTACAAGAGAAAGAAAATCTGTATTATTTTTTAAGTAAACAAGAACTAAAGCAGATGTTACCATTTGATGGTTTTATATACATATCACTAGCCAAAAGAAATAGTGATCTGACAAGAACAGCCTCAGGCAAAACGGTATTTAGCCCAGTTATTTGGCAATACACTTTACAAGCAATAAATAAATCATCTTTATTATCAGCTTGAGCAGTAGATGTTATCATTACTTTTTTAGGCTCTTCAGCTATTTATAAAACTGACCTGAATTTAAATCATCTATGTAAACAGAATCCTTGTCACATATAGTTTGTGGTTGTAAGGATGCAAAGTGCTCAAAAACCAATCAAGCTGTTAAAATACTTCAGAACTATGAATCAGCTGTTCTCCATTTGCATTTTCAACTACTGTTAAAAATGTGCATGCTGTACCTTATTAGTCTTTTACACTCATGACATGCAAGTAACTCTCTCCTCTCGCCCCTGCCTTGAATGGGGTAAATTTGATCAGCAAAAGATGAAAAGTAAAAGAAAGCAAGAGACTAGATCAGATCAATAGTTTCTGTTTTTTTTTTTTTGTTGGTTGGTTGGACAACAGTATGGGGTAAGCTGACGATTTTTACAAGATACACTTTTAAAGAGATGGATTTCTCATAGCATCATAGGTATGTTACTGGGAAGAGATCTCTGGAGTTCATTTAGGCCAACCTGCTGCTCAAAGCCAGATGACAGCCAATATCAGAACAGGTCAGCCATGGGGGTTTTCAAGCTAGACAAAGCCATGGTTGGAGGTTCCATGGCTTCCATGGGTGACTTGTTCCTATGCTGCAGTACCATTGTGCTGAAAAACTTCTACAGTGACAAACCACTATAGACTTCTAGGCTAAGACTGTTGCTGTTTTAGAAGCATTTGGCTACAACACCATTTTGTCTTTTCCAGTAGCTGTATACTGTTATTAGATTGCCATCTAACCTCCAACATACTAAAAGAGCCCAGATGCTTCAACTTCTCGTCCTAGCACAATTGCTTTAGAGCCCTGGCTTCCTTGGAAGGTCCCAGACCTCTTTCAGTTTCTTCAAACTGACGTTGAACTGAAAGAAAAACTCAAAACTGCCTTTAATCTGCTGACACATGTATCTTCTCATAGTCCAGTTTGCAGTTTGTCTCATTTACAACAAAATTAAATTGTTAGCTCACATTCAGCCCAGCATCCATTGTAACCTGTAGTCCTTGTCAAGCCAGCTGGTACCAAACATGTATCACTATAATCACAGAATCACAGAATCACAGAATTTCTAGGTTGGAAGAGACCTCAAGATCATCGAGTCCAACCTCTGACCTAACACTAACAGTCCCCACTAAACCATATCCCTAAGCTCTACATCTAAACGTCTTTTAAAGACTTCCAGGGATGGTGACTCCACCGCCTCCCTGGGCAGCCTGTTCCAGTGATAATGTGATCATCCCAACCCAGAGTGGGGGCTTTGCACACTTATTTATTAACTTCACGCTGTTTCTCATTCAGAAATGAAATAAATGTCACAAAACTGACAATACAGTGGTTTTGCTCTTTACCTTGGTGTTTGTCATATCCACAATGTATTGGTCTCCTTTTATGCACTCCATTACTGGGAAACCATCTCTGTCAAGCACCTTTGCCTGGGAGTTACCAGAGACAACCAGAATGACATCTCCTGTGCTACTGTACTGTAAAGACTTGATTTGGTGACTAAAAAAAAAAAAAAAGCCAGTATTAAAACAGAAGTGTCAATGGTGAGAAAATGCATTGCAGAAATAGGCCCACATACATTCCTGTATCAGAAAGATGGAAAAAAAAAATCTAAGAGCAAAGGATTAAAGCTTTTTATTCCCATGTGTGTGTGTGTGAGACTTCCTTCTTTAATGACAGAGCACATTGTACAATAATATTTACAAAGTTGGCACCTAGAATGTCATTTCTGGCAAACATATTTACTTTAAGAATGCTTTGTAACTCCAAGTGAAAAATAGCATGCCAGATTCAGCTCTTCAGGGCTCAAAATTCTTCCTCACCTTCCCAAAAGTAACATCTGGATTTACAGTAATCTATAAAGTACTATAAAAGGATGCTATAGTCCTACATCAAAATCCATTATACATTGTACAGCAGGAAATTCATCATATGTCAGCATTTTCCCATCATTTGCTATGTTCAGGGCTACAGTTTCATCAAAGATTCAAATAAAGATATATATATATATACCAATGAACCTGGAAAAATATCATTAGGTAATAATCTACTATACCCTAAATGATTGTTCATTTGCTGCAAAAGCTTTCTTACATACATCTTTCCTTGACTGAAAAAGCTTGAGACAGAAATCATTGAATACCAGGACAAGAAAAATTATTAAATCAAAGTGGGATGATGGCAAGTGAAGCATAAATCCATTTCCATCCCCAGTGACAGCTTCAACATCTTCTCTCAGCATTCTGCTTTATGTACAAAGCTCTCTGAAGTTACTGTATCCAAAGCAGATATCCTTTTGTTTCCCTACCAGACTACACACTACTACAAGGATAGCTGAGAACAAAAAGTAGTGTATCCACCACTCACCTGCCAGAAGTGATATCCTGGCACATTAACAGAAATTGTACAACAATATTTACACTTCAACTCTGCAGTTAAATTAACTGAAAAGCAGAGATCACAATGTGTTTGCAATTCTGTTTGTATTCTTATGGCCTCCAAGCCGTGTTCAATAAACTGATCGTCACAAAAAATATTGTTCAAGTGCATCAAGAAATAATATTTCTATACCAAACTTAGGGAAGTATGGTATACTTAGTAGTTTTTCACTTAGTGGAAAACATAACCATGTGCATTCAGATTCTAATAACTTTACGAAAACTATTTTTTTTAACATAAAATTTCACATCAGTAGAATTAACACTCAGGTGATCAATGAATCTGAGTATGCAATTTCTAACTTAATTTAACATTTTATGTCTTGCATGGTATTGAATTTGTAACTGACTCGGCAGGAGCTATTATTTGTTAAATCTCTCCTCAGACTGAGATAATGTACAAAACACATAAAACATTGTAATACATATTTTAGAAAATCTGCATTGACCATAGAAATGTAAACTAAGCATAAGTTTCTTATTCAAAAAATGTTTGGCAAAACTGATTACATTATGACTCAAAAGCCAAAAATTGCTTCAAGTACCCTATTATGTAATACGAACTGGCAGCCAAATTGGCTGAAGTATTATAAACTCTAATTTTTAGTAGAAAAGAGACACTCAAATCTGGGAATTTCCGAAACAGATCACAGGCGATGTCTGAAAAAGCATCCTGAGCATAAAGAGCAAGAATGGATACTTGCACAAAAGGGAGGGAAGAAGGCCAACCACATTAAGTTCAGAGGAAACACTGAAAAAAAATAAAAACAAACCCACAAGAGAAACAGTATCTATACTCTAGAATATTCTCTGCAGACAACTGATAAACTATACTAAAGAATCTATATCGGTGTGTTTGAACAAACTTTGCTTTCAACTTTGAGTAACATTTAAGTTTCTTCTAACACAAAACACCTCCTGATTTTACAACACCTAGTATAATGGGAACATAATTCTAACAATTAATCAAATCAGGGATGTGGGAAAAAAAAAAACAACAAACACGCCGTCTGAGAGAAAATGTATTTCCACAACTTTTAGATATAGGATAACAATAACCTCCTAACTGTGCAATATTGGTTTAAAAAATCATATGCAGTAAGTCATGCTGTACGTAAGGTATTTGTATGACCCAGAAGTTATTGTTTTTCAGGTGTTTACTGGACTATTAAAAAAGTAAGCCAAAAGTAAGGCTCTGCAGAGGCAATTCCTAAACAAAACAAAACAAAAAAAAATACCAACACACTTTTGGTTCTTATTAATGTAAAAGCAAAAGTCTTGGAAAACTTACAAAAGCAATTCACTTTAATAGGATTAAAATAGGATTAATCCAAGGTTTAAAGCTGCCAAACCAGCATAGTACTTTCTGCTGGAAGTCCATTGGCAGAGCTGTGACGCAGTTAATTTCTACACACATTTATCACTGATTTCCCTTACACTTGCCCTCATCTTTAATGCTGAGGTGTGGTTTGAAGGTACTGTGTTTTTTTTTTTCCAGGCTCTCTTTTTCTTGTTCTTATGTCCCAAATCCAAGGAGAAATTAACATAGCAATCTGATATTATGCTACAAAATGGAGCCTGGACAATGTGTAATTCTTCTCAGGCTTTTTATTCTTCTTAAAATGAAACTAAATATTTGACTCCAGAACTAGATTTCTGCTAACACCTAAAGCTTCCATACCAGAACTCCTCAAAATTCTTCAAGATTAAGGTCTGTGAATGCAAACAGTCCTTGCCATAAATTCTGCAGTGAAAAAATATAATAAGAATATATATACAACTGAACACAGGTTATGTAAGAATCCTCATAGTGCTATCTAGTACTAAGACTACAATTTCATCTTATACCATTATTACCAAGTACTACTAAATTTGAATTTACTCTTCTGCTCAACATGGAAGTGCTTCAGTTAAAATAATCTTGTCCTGTGGAAATAGACTGTGGGCTATTTCTTATTGCCAGTTATGACAAATGAGAGGAAAACGCCATTTGTGTTCTGTTACAAACTTGTGCAAGTGAAATTCATGCCAGAAGAGTCTCAATGTATAACTTTTTTTTCCCCCTCCAAAGATGCATGTTTACCAAGTCATGTTTTCACAGTAAATGTGCTATTCTTTAATTTACCGTAACAAAGTAAGTCAAAGTAAGATCAAAATCACAGCATATTTTTATTGTTTTGATTCTTCACATTTTAAACCACTAGTAGAATCTCTTTTTAGTTTGCTCCTTTTCAGGCGGCCTCAACTTTTTGTCATCTTTCATTAGCTGGAGTACTGGTACATCTACAATTAGTCATGGAAATCCCAACCTTCCAAACTGACCAAAATTCAGTTTTCGCTTCGTCTATTTTTAATGATTATTGTCTGCAATTCTAAGGACTACTTATTGCACATCATAAACTTCAATCCCTTTTAAGCATACCAAGCATTTTATAAAGTGTGCCTCATTAATTAACCATTGGATAGTACTTTTCTAGAAAAAACATGCTTTTTTTTTCCATATGTGTGCATATTTGAAAGTTAGCTGTGCATAAGGCATGGCATTTTAAAGGAGATTGATATTCCAGTTATCTGTAACAAGTACACAAACCTGGTTTGTTTATTGGCTGAATTGCCAGAGAACAGTACAAAAGTCACTGTATAAAGAAAGGTTTCCTGTATTGTTATATATCTATATGCCAATACAAATTTAAATAAATATAATCTTGTCAGACGCTGTGTCTGTTTTTTTCGTGTGTGTGTGTTTTGTGTTTTTTTTTTTTAATATATTTTTTTTAACATGTACTACATAGCCATTTTATTATTAGTTCAGTGCAAGGGATCACTACTTCCAGAAAAGAAGGATTTAATGAAAATATGATCCCCTCAACAACCTCATAAATACTGACAGTAACTACAGAAGTTATGTCCTTCCCATGTACATAAACTTGAGCATTTGAGAGGTTCATAATCTATTTGCAGATATGTTATTGACAATTCCATCTGCAAATTCACCTATACCTTTCTAAAAGATTAAAATATATGTCTGGATAGAAAATGTAAAGATGTAACATGACAAGTTCTTGGTTTCACATTTCGTTTACCACAGACAGTGCAATGAGATAAAAAAGCCTTTCAAGCTAGCTATCTTACAAGGCTTTTGTGCATTTTATTAGGAGACTAACACGGCCAATATCTCAAGTGAAAATGTAAGTCTTTATGCATACCATTCACAAGGCTGGAGTGACCGAAAAGCCTGGAGAGAAGCATCCATTCCAGCAAAATCCCAAAATTTAACATCATAGTCATATCCACCAGTTATCAAACGGGCACCTGAAGGATCCAATCCCAAAGCAGAAACCTGCACAGAAAAAAAGAAGATCAAAGTTTTTTATTTCTCTTTTTTTCTGTAATTCTTCTTAAGGAAACAAAATGTAAAATATTGCTAAAGTAAGAAAAAAATAATTCAGTGTGGTAGTTTACATGTTTTGTCTGTGAATTTTCACCATCTTGTACAATGTCTGAGTACCTCAAAAAGGGCATGGAAAATGAAGGTGGAAATTACACAATCTGAATACAATACTGAAGACTACAGAGAACAGCTCGTTTACATTGTTTGCTTCCCTATTTTCTCAATGATGAATTTGGATATCTTTCATTTCCCTGAAGAAAACAAAACTGTACTCTAGACTTGTTTCAGAAGTACAAGTAATAGTTCTAGCAAGATTTTGAAATGGTATTTAATATCCAACAGTTTAAGATTATATACTCAACATAGTTCATGTGCGCATATATGCACATTGGTTAAATTTGCCTCCTGAAGGAAAAAAAAATATAGAAACTTGGTTTAAAAAAAAAGTCACAAATTTAAAAAGATTTAAATTAGCTTCATAAGGCTACTTAGAACTTTGAGTAAAGAATGTTCTCATTTATTATCCTCAAAAAACAGGTGATCCCACGTAAGATGTATAATTATTAAATCCATAAACCCTTTCATTTCAGAGAAAGCGGTCCTCAGCACAATAAAATAATGCAGTATTAATAGAAAGAAAATGCTCTAGAAAATGCCTAAAAAGTGATTTACAGTGATGAGCCAGAAAGATCAAAAAAAAAAAAAGGTTTAAAAAATCTTATACTCCAAGAACATTCATACTTTAGACAGTTCTTGGGAACAACAAAAAAATAACTTTCTGAGTAGAAGACAACACATGAGAATAATGTTATGGCTACAGGTTAGCATTGCTAAACTTTTAGGATAAAAAAAGATCAAGTCAATTGTTTCCAGGTGCCTAAACTTTTTAAATATTCCAGATATTCATATGAAAAAAATCTAATAATTTGCATACAGTGCTGCTGCTCTGTATCTACTCTGTACACAGAGTATATGCACATACAGATTATATTAATTGTGTATATAGAAAAAAAAAAAAAAAAAAAAAAAACACAAAAAGATATTACCTTTTCAGTGTCCAGTTGAGTAAGTAATAAAAAATAAATGTTTCAGTAAAAACAACAGTTAAGAACTGAATTTATCCTTTAAGATGGACAATTTGTTTTTGCTAAAATTAAGGTTTTCTTAAATGAAAGAGTTTGCATTTTTTTGTTTCATGTAGAGAAAGTTAATTTATATATTCCTTATTTTTATCAAAAATTCATTTCTAGTTGCCATCTCCTTAAGGCTCATGCTGCTCCTTGTGCTCTTACCTTACTGCATTTCAAACTTAAAACACCATAGTATAGTTTTAAGAAAATATGTCCAGAAAAAAACAGGAAGATGAAAAAATGATGCTGACTGCTGGACAAGCAACCAATTTCTTCGTCATCTAGATGTCCTGCTCTGTTTTAGACGCATTTACTTGCAGAAGGCTTATGTTTTAGAGAAGATCCAAACCCTTATTCTTCTAAAGAATCCAAAGAATCATCAGTCAAGCTAATCCAGTGCCCCCCAAAATCTAGTTCACACTTTCAAATAAATCCAACATTTTAATTTATTTTTACTTCTCTGAATCAAATGTTTAAATGTACTGCTTTGTGCTATCCCTAAGACAGAATTAAACTCCACTTACCTGTTATGTCACTGTGACTTACTTGCCCTACAAACGAAACAGATGCAATCTCTTATGTCCCTCCCCTATCCCCCAATTGCCCCTTTTTATCACCTAAATACAAGTTTTGGACCCCACTCATTTCATTCATGATTTCTAACAAGCAGAAACTCTGGGCATCTCCAGATTAATCATGCATTAGAATTAACAGATTCAAGTACTCTGTTCCACAAAAACTACTATAGGAAGAAGCAGCTGTGATATGAGAAGTTCAAATACATAATCAGAAGTATTCTGAACACTGTGCTTTCTTTCTCATACCCACAATGTATCAAAAGCGTCAAGAGAAATATATATACATATATCCCTGAAGTTTCACTGGGAACAGTAACTCCTATTACACTGTGCAAGCCAGGCAAGCGGGAAATTAATCAGGTTTCTGGAAAGACTCCAGCTTGGGAAATCTTTTCTGAGACTTTTCAGCTGCACAGGAATATAGTCATCATCAAACCCAATTTCATTAGATTGAAGAGGTACAGATGGGACATAAGGTTTAGCTGAAATACAGTACACTGTATGACTATAAGACGACGAGTGTAATTTAAAATGTTGGTGGAAAACACTGATATCAAGATATCAGGTTGCTCCCATCTTTATACAACTGTCATTTTTACTGTGTAATGACATGGCTGAGTAGTCCCATAATTTAAAAACAAAAGAAAGGCATAGGGGGGTGGGAAGGAAAGGCAGGGGGGTGGGAGGAGGTAGGAAAGATAGTCCTTCTACAGAATAGCTGTTTTTTTCCAGTGATATATTTAATTCCCTGCATCCAATCTAATTTAACTGTGCTATGCATATCCACATTATAATTCACCTCTGCTCTAGGTGATGACAGCTGTATTCTCATGCAGTCAAAATATCTCAGAAGTCTTCCAAAACTGTAACTTCCCCCCTTACAAAGCCTTTTAGTTAGAAATAACATGAGCTTCCACTTTCAGAAACCAGTAAAAATCAAAAGACTTACTGGTTTAATATATATAGAGAAAAAAACAGTGTTTCTTCACATAATAAAGATTGTTCAGAAGTATATTCAAGAAACATACTAGAGAAGCAGTTACTGCAACATGGAAAATGAGAAAGTAACTTGCATTAGTATGAAAATAAATTAGTACTGAGAGGTATTACATGCACCACGTAAATAAAAACTGTACTTTTTTGTTGTTTAAAGTGCAATAAAAAGCATATTTTACAAGTTTTAAAATTCAAAGAGTATTTTTGTATTTTCATTAACAACGTGTTTGTTACTTCTTTCTTCTTCTTCTCCCACTATGTCTGCATGTCAAGTACGATGACAAAACAAATGAGTAGGTCTTATCACTTCTCTACACTGGAAGATACAGCACAACAAACTCCAATACAAGATTAATGAATACGTGCTTCTGCAGATAACTACTTCTGAAAGCTTATAAAAACATTTATGATCTTTACTGTTAAATTTAAACCTCCAGTAAATTCCTTTAAAATGTGTATAAATGATCAAATTATTAAATATTAAAATATTAAATTCAAATTATTTATGTTTAATGTTTTAACTTGTTACAGATGTTAAAAATTTACTAACTTTATTTAGAAAATGTATTTAATACCATCGAATGCTGAATTATTAAATGTATGATTACATTAATTACAATTAAATTAATTAAAAATACATTTTTTCAGATTGTTTAAAAGATCATCAAAAGGCACTTTTCTCAAAGGATTTTTTGCTCTAATTTTCTTACACCCATCCCACTCTGGAAATTTTTCAGGATCGCTCTCAGTGACAAGTTCTATTAACTAGCTGACAGTGCTGTCACAGGGATATGGTAACAATAAAAGGAATTCTAATATTATTTTCTCCCTGAAACTTAAGTCACAGCCCAAAGTGAAGAGCATAAACAGCAGCAGCGTGTTCTTTTAATAACCAAAGAAGAAGATGGGGAAAGGATTTGGGAATGGATTCAGGGCTAGTCATAGCCAGAAATTTTTTTTTTACTCTGTAGAAGCAGATCTTGGATCAAGCAACACATAAAAGCGTTTGAATGTGTGTTGGAAGATGAAATTACCCAGGAAAAAAAAAAGATACTGAGAACAAAGACACAAGATCCAAGCCAGAAAGCGTTTCTTTAAAAGAAGGTGAAGGAGGAGTATTTGAGATGAAACCTTAAAAAGATGCAGTTAAAGACAAGGAAGAATACAGTTTCAAGAAACTGAGGATGGCTTATAAAAGGCACTTAAAGATTCAATTAAAATGAAGGAGACCTACATTCTGCTACAGAAAGGTCATTTTAAACTTCAGCAATGACACCCTCCTTGAAAAGCATGAAAAGTCAGAGAAAGGTGTAGATTAGACCTGTGTCTAGACTAGGAAGGTGTAGAGGGAAGTCTAGAGTAATTCTATCTAACAATTGTAGAGTATGAATTTGCCAAGAAGGAAGAAGAAAATGAGACAATGGTTCAGCCAAATGAATTTAAGTTTGGGTTTTTATCAGAAAGGAAAGGTGTCAGTCCAAAAGCACACCTTCATTGCAGTAAGAAAAGAACTAGATTTAAAATAAAAAAAACTAACAGATCAGCTTCTTGATTTCAGCTGACAATAAATATTCAGTAACTTATTTAATAGACTGGATCAGTTCCAGAAAAAAATAAGAAATGTTGAAAATATGTTACCACTTACTGTTTTCGTCCCGTGTTGGAGCGTAATTTCATGAGAATCTGGAATTTTCTTGACAGGGTTCTGGAGGAAAAAAGACAAATTCAACTTTGTGGAAACAGTGTTACAACAACAAAACACTGAAATATATATAAAGGTAAAAAATGTTTCCCCTCACACATGTGATAACCTGAGGGAAAGGGGACAAATCAAAAGTAAGAGACCAATTCCAGATTTTTATTTTCGTGGTTATGGCCCTAAAATATGAGAAATAATTAAGAAGGAAAAAAACAAACCAAAAAAAACCAACAACAACAACAACAAAACACCTTAATAAAGAATGAAAACAGTAGAAGATTTCCTACTTTTCCTCTTTAGAACACAGTAAAATTCTCTTTGGTCCTTAATCAGTAATAACTAATGATCTTGTGATGGATTGATTAAATCATTGTTCATTATACAATTACTTTCCAAAAGAAGGAATCTATGAGGTTAACAAAATTAATTTAAAAAATCTAGAAATTCATTACAGAAGTTAAATTATCTACATTTTTAACTGGGATCATGGATTAGCTTCCAAATTCCACCTCTGTGATTATCTCCAGCTCTCATGGGGCTTCATGACTGCCGCTTCAATGGCAAGATACAGACTGAAGACAATTACAGCTTAAAACATCACACTAACATCTGTAACACAAATAGTTACAGAGAAGGAAACTTTCTGGAAGTATTTCAGTGACTGGAAGGTTCTACAAAGGTCATTCAAATCATTATTCTCAAAATATTCATGTCTGGTACCACTAAGTTTCCTAAAACAGACACAATCCATCATTTTGATGCCAGACATCTTGGTTATAATTTGCTGTTGCCAAAACATAATTTTAAAATAATTTTTATGCACACTTTTTAAGTTATATTTCTCTTCTTATCCATCTTTGCCAATTCCTTCCCTTTTTTTTCACTCCTCTACAGAAAGTCACTAAGGCATGAGGCTCTTTTAAACTGTTTTTTTTTTTGTTGTTTTGTTTTTCTCTAGTTCTATCAACTTTATTTCTCTGGTAGAATTGAAACTTTCTCCATCTTTGATTTAGCCAAACCTACCATTCTTCTAACTCTACTTTTATCACTGACAACATCCCTGATTCTCAAACCAAATGCAGTTTCTCCCCACCTCTCCTTTCCCCTCCTACTCTCTCCCATGTAAACCCAGCAGAAGGCTCATACCTGGTGTTTTCACACTCACAGTATACGTACATCTTTGATAGTCATAAGCATCTGAAGGGAACTCCAGTATTAGCATGTAAATCTTACACATACACTTGAGCAAAAAAATACCCATGGGACTCTGGGTCCATACAAAGTCCGAACAGGTAACAGTAAATGTTTACATAAAGCTGCACACAACACTGTGAAAGGTACAGCCCGCACGTCGCTATGTCCCACTTCCACCATCTCACAGGTTCACAAGTTGAGAAGCAGGTGTAAATTGAAATGCCCAAGTGAAGCTTTGATTATGAAATTCAGCTTATCATTCACTTGGCACTATAAATCACCCCGAGAAAGGTGTAATTGCAACACTCTTGCAGTTTTCCATGTCTGATAATATGCTATACTATAAAATGGTATTTGACTGGTGTAGGAATGCAAAAAACTGCTCAGCAGCCATTGACTGTACTTGCTATTTAAGCACATTTCATAAGAACAGAAGGAAGCATGAAAAGGAAACAACACAATTTCAAAGCTTCATGTTGCTGTCACAAAGGATGCATCACTCCTGTGAATCAAAGGCTTTCAGATAAACTTCACCTACTGCTGCAAGGAGAAACAGCACTGTGGTCGTTCTCAACTTAATCACTTCAGGGTTGCTAATTTTATATTCCAATCTGCAAAGGCAGGTTTTATTCCTATTATTTTAGCAGTAAGCTTAATTTTGAGAGTATTTTAATTACTTTTAGAGTTATTTTCAACAGCTCAAACAGAAAGTTCTCATGAATATCCTTATTACAAATAAAGCAGCTAAGAGCACCACAATTGCAGATAGACTACCATCTACAATAGCAAGTGACAAGCTCAACTGCTTTCAGTCACATCTTTTTTTCTTCTTGGGTAGTTCCAAATGAAATGATTTAAATGTTTTTCACTAAATACCACTGAATGACCAAGAAATGACAGCTAAAAAGCCTAAAAAAATAAACAACATTTTCACACAATTCCTCCAGGTTAAAAATCAAAACGTGCTAGCATAAACTTAGTTAATTGCTAGCTCCTCCAGGTGACAGTAATCAAATCTCTTTTTTTAATTAGAATACTGAAACACACAAGAACACTTCTGTTGTACAGTGCACCCACATCAAACACAGTTCTGGCTACTTATCTTTAAGGGAAAACAACAGGAATTCTGTCACCTTATAAATCAAACATCCTGACCCTGAAATTCAGACATTTGAAGAGAGCAAGCAGTGCTACATTCTGCAGTGTCCAAAGGATGCCTGACTGTTCAAACTGTTCAAAACAAAAATTAAGATAACAACCCCCAGGAACATATCTTGGCTTAACATCTTCAAATCAGCCAAACATTTACAAAAAACAAATTGGGTTATACTATTTTAGTAACTATAAACTTCCTAAGCTATTGCAAATACTATAAATATCTTGCATATATTGGAGCATTACTAATCAGAGAGGTAGAGCTCAACCAAAATGTATTCACACTGCTGGCTGTTTGCAGTTGCTGCTTGGATTTCAGCTTCTAGTTTACACACAAACATTTAATGTTTTAAAAATGCTGTTTTGCACATTTTTATGTAATTAGATTAAGATGAACTGAAATACTATAAGTTGTTGATTTTATTTTTTTTTTTACCATATCAAAACAAAGATGACAGTAAATCTCTCTCTTTTTTTCATTTTTGGTGTTAACATATCTCCTGTTACTTTTTACAAAAAGTCCCAATTCCCCTGCCTTTGGTAAGATTAATATGCATTAAGCCCATAAATTAGTGTATTGTAGGAATTCTCAATTTTACCCAAAAATTAAAAGCAAGCCTTACCTTTTAAGTAATTTCTGCAAAGGGACAGTGCAAGTCAGGAATGACATCTGCAGTTTCCTGTTACATTTTTCCAGGTAATTCCACCCCTAGCTGACTGTTAAGCTCCTGTGCCTGACACCACTCTTCCATTCACTGCGCCCCACTGTCTGTAAATACTGCATTTTTATTTGCCTTTTTTTTTTTTTTTCTCGTTCCTTTTGGGAGCTTCCTTATCCTCAAGCAATACTTGTAAAATATGCCACTAGAAACTACAGGCTGAAACTAGGTCAAAGTCTCCCAGATCTCTTGAGAAAAAATCAAAGAAAAATGAAAAAGAGATAATCCAATAATGGAGATCAAAACAGGTATGAAAATGGATACACGAAGGTAAAATTGGTTAAAATCTGTATTTCTATATCATACAGGATATCCTTAGGTATTCTTAGGGATACTAAATATGAGCAATAATCATCATAGAGGTTTGGCATAAAACAGAGGGATACAAGAAGTGGGAAAAGAATGGGCCAGTATTTAATAGACTTGATGTTTGGCTTGAAGAGAAAGTTAGGACCCTTAGAAAAAAAGAATCCACTAAACAATATAATTGACACAAATACACAATGAAAAAACACCTCAGCCATAACCATTTATTAGCCTTGCAGAACCATCCAGACCATTCATTTTAGATGTCTGATAAATTAGATTATGTTCAAAGTCTTAAATGGATAAAAGGAAAGAGATAATGAAATGCAAAATGTAAATTCCATAATGGCACTACAAGGCACAAACCCAGGAGATACTCTGCTGATCCAACAAACACAGTAACCGCGAACTGAACATCATGAGGGGAAAAAAAATTATCCACTGGAATCCTCCAAAGCGTCCCCCAAAAATGCCACTCAAAGGTAGACTACAGGTCCTCAAATTACTTACCTTTTCATGGCCAAAGCAGAGAGAGACAGAATGATGTATCTGTCTAAAAATACCTATACTGCTCTGTTTCTAGAGATCTGTACTTTATTAAATGTAAACTGTCCTGAACGAAAGGAACTTCCAAGCTAACAAGTAACAAATAACATTGCATGCACCAGGCCCTTAAATAAGAACTTTTCTGGGCACCCACAAGAATACAACTTAACAGAGGAAACAATTTTCTTTTTTTTTTCTTTTTTTTTTTTCTGTGTTGGGAATTGTCCTTGGATTCCAGTATAGGGGATTCTGCCTTCCTTGAAGATTTCAAGATCAGATGCTGCACTGGAAGCAAATATGACTTTGCTTTTCTGGATAGCTCCCGTGTTCTTAGAACTTTACCAAAATGCTGACTGACTAAAGAATTGCAGAAGCAGAGCTATGCTACAGCATGGAGGAAAAACACGCAAACAGTTAAAATAAATGTAAGCACTTTTCCTGTCTAGAGCAGGGAAAGAGGTTAAAGTAGGCTTGGCTACTACTTACTTTAAATACCTTAAGCACTGCACTAAAAAAGTCCTTCCTGATTGATTTAATCCAGCAAAAATGTGTAAACACTCACTCCCTGCTCTTTTGGGTCTTGCTTCGGTACACTCCAAATAGCAGATGCTGTCTGTTCATGGGCTAGATTAAAGAAAAGGAGGCAGGAACTACACTTTATAGAGATTTCTCCATTTCTGGTGACACTGCAGGTTTCGTAAAGTAAATTGAACAGAGATAGTCTGAGGCAGAACTGCTGCCTCAGTAGAAGACAGATGGAATAACAGGGGTAAGGACAGCAAGAATAGCTGGTGGAAGTGAGAGGAGGTTGACAAAAAAAAAAGTAGCATCAAAGGATTATGGAATTACCTGTTAAGGTAACATTAAGTAGCAGCAGCAATTCAAAGACTCAACTGAAGGACTTCCTACAGAAATTCATGTTTAATAACCCAAATCCCAGGCCTTCTGGCATTTAAGATTTTTTTTAATTATTATTATTTTCAAGCATTTTTGTTCAAATGCCACATTTGTGTTTTAAGTTGTTATTAAAGCCTCCTCTCTTTCTCTCCAAAATGACTGAATTACATGGAAAAGCAAAAGCCGCAC